CCCGATTCCAGTTGCCTCGTCTATCCCGGCGACTTGTTGTCATGACGATGGATGTTGCCTCCGTGTCAAGTGATGCGGCAACCTTGGCTCGAGCCGCCGATATTATGTGATTTCCGCCCTCACCGATTATCGCCATAGTGCCGAGGTGGCCTGGGATTTGCGGGGCACACCCAATAGCCGTTGCGAAGAGCCTCCTTCCTGCCCAGCCGCCACGCCCCACCTGGCCCCAGGCTCCGAGGGGGTGTTGGCATTCGCGAGAACGCGAACGTGAAGGCGCGTCCAGACCCTCTTCCGCGACGCATGCCGCGGAGCCCGTCCGTCGGTGGTGCTGCGAGGCGTCGTCTGTACGTCTCCGGGGCTGGGCGAATTACGGGCCGGTCGCAATCGCAGTCGGGGCAGGCCTACAGCCACTACTCACACACAGACACAGGCATCCGTCGCGAGTGCGGGCAGTCGTGCCGACCAGCCGCATGACATGCACAAACAGGCATCTCTTGGCAACATTCTCGCCATCGGAGAAATGTATGTTCGGCTCCGAGCCCAGATTGTGGCAGCGGCGGTGGCGTCTTGTGAAACTGTCTGTCCGATTCCCCTGCACGGCCCCATTCAAGCAGACCTGTCCGGAAGTCGCTTCTACATTTTTCGCATTCCTTCCTGTCCGTCCGCACGCATCTACGTCTGTTTGTTTGTTTGTATGTAAGTGTGCTTGTATGCATGTCTCTGCGTCTGTCTGTACGTTTTTCTGGTGTTCTGTCTGCATTTATGTTTGTATGCTTGTATGTATGTATGTCTGTCCGTGTATCTATATTTGTTTATCTGTTCGCTTGGATATCTGTCTGTCTGTATGTCTATATCATGCCTGCTTCTCTGATATCCCTATGTCTGCCTGTCTGCCTGTTGTTTGTGCATCTATCTCTGTTTATTCACTTGTTTGTCAGTCTGTATATTTGTATGTATGTTTATGTTTGTTTATCTGCATGTCTGTTTGTTTTCTGTCAGTATCTATGTCTGTCTATTTCATGCCTGTCTCTTTGATGCCCTTTTTCTGTCTGTCTGTCTGTATGTCTATTTAGCTGCCTGACTATCTGTATTTGTCTGTCTGTCTATTTTCTGTTCATCTGCATCACAGCCCGGCATACACCTCACCTACGGCCCCCCGACGATTCCACTCGTATCTTTCGTCCGTCTCGCCGCCAGTGAAATAAACCCACAGTTATGAAAGGAGGAGCCGCCTCGAAAAGACCGAGCGCAAAGAAGTCATCACTTGGTCCCACTGGAAACTGATGGCCTCATTGTTGTGCATTTGGTAGAGTTGAACTGAGCAAGAAGATCTCCACTCACCTTCCACGACCCCGATCTCGACACTCGTTTAGGGGCCGCATTTTCTGGCAGAATATTGCCTCTTCCTCAACCGGACACTGTCCGAAAGGCCATACGAAAGCTGCATTCTGCTCCATCTTGCCTCGTCCGCTTGCATTCACACATTACTCGTTGTCTGCTCTCATGTTAAAGGGTGCATGCAAAGCATGAAACTCTTATTCATTTGTTGAGCTTACTTCCATTTAGAGTGGAAGTGTAGCGTGAAGAGATTCGAAGTTCGCTTCCACCAGAAGACGACGTCCGATTCCTCTTGACCAACTGTCGATTGGCTTTACTGCCACATTCATGCTGAGGCTGTTTCCGAGGCAATCTCCTTCGATTCCGGTGAAAAGGTGCTAAGCTTTCGTCCGCCAGAGAGAAAGAGTGAGCTAAAAGTACAGAGAAGTGTCTATCTGAAGAGTGCCGCTCAAGTTCCTTGTGCTCATGGGACCTCCTG